ATAATATCATAAATTTTCTAAAGAATGAACTTCTAAATAACTTTAAATACTTCATAATTGACAATTGAAAAGTATTCTGATGAAGTTCTTATAGATTTTTCATACCTATTGCTTTTATTATTACAGAAAATTTCATTACCTAAAGTAAAATTAGATGAAGAACTATTCATCCAAAAATTATTTCCAAACTGTGGACCAGTTTTCTTTTGATCATTTTTAATTTGACAATAAAATGCACATTTAGGATTTTTTACTCTGCTAAGAATTGAATTATGAATATTGCCATTTTTAATGAGAAAATAAAACTATCTTTTGTTTCCATCGAGTTATAACCAATATTATTATCCCATGCCAAAGGATTATAACCTCCAATTATTTCATCAGTTCCTTTAACTTTCACTATCAAACTGTGCTAGCATGACCATGGCAAATATTCCAAAAAGTTTGTGGAGCAAACCCATCTCTAGATCCGCGTAAAATTAATTCAAATTTATATGGGATATTTGTAGTTGAATAAGTAGTTGAATTACGATCAATCCAAGTTTGAAATTTCTGCTACATGATCCTCAGAAATGATCGTTTTGTAACCAAAATTTTTCTTGCAGGTAAAATAATCGATTTTACTGATCGAGTAGGAGATAATAAATGATGATTGCTATCTTTCCAAAGTTGTTTCTCGAGAATCTTTTTATAAGGTTCAATTCTATCTAAGACTTCATCAGCCGAAATATGAAAAAACGAATATATGGTAGAAGTTGTTGAAATGTAGTTTTTAAGAAAAGAAAATTGTCCTTGGTCCAATCTTCAAGATTTGTAGGAAGATTGGAATTCTGAGCAATTCCCCATTTTATGATGTAGTCCCAAATTTTAATTTCATCCATTTGTATATCATCTCGTTCGAGAAGAGATACCAGTGCAGATTCAGGAAGTGAAGTAAAATCATCTGCATCAAAAACAAGATTTGGATACTTTACAATAATATCGTTACAATAATTTTCTAAATTTTTAAGGTTTTGTCTAACGAAAAAAGTATGATAGACTAGAGAAAAATGAGTTTTTAACCAAGAAGATTTAGAGTTAATGAGAAGAATTTCTAATTTTTTGGTTAATTCTTCAAGGTCAAATTCACCGGCAACCAACATTAAATCAAAAATCAATCTAGTTTCAGCATTTTCTAAATTAACAATTCCACCGTAAATATATCTATGTAACAAATAAATAAATTCATTATATAAAATAATAATAATAATAATAAGTAAAGTAAATTTAAAGTAATAATAATAATAGTAACTTTAAAATAATATCAAAAATTTTGGCAGAAATACTTGGCTTTGTGATTATTTTAATATTATTTTCATTTGGAATAATTTCTAATTCTCAACGAAAGTATGAAGATCGATAATTCAATATTTTAGAATGTGCCGTAAAAGATTTTTCCTTATTTTCAACTTCAATGATTACATTGCAATCATGTTTACCATTCAGAAGTTCAATAAAGTTTTGAGATAATTTGTCAAAAAATTTAAATTACATTTTTCTTTTTGAAAATTATTGAATCAATTGAAAAAATGAATGAAAGGTTGACAAAATAAAACATAGGAACATATTTATTGCGATTATCAGTATGACAATCAACAATTTTTTTCCTTATTCGGAATTTTCGATAGAATTCTTAAGTCAAAATGCATGTATGTTAAGCATAATCACATAATCGATATAAAGATTTTTTTTACATTTTCCCCAAAAATATGAATATAATTATTGGATACTTATTTTATTTATTAAAATATTGTCAAAAGAGTTTATTTTTTTGGGGGGGCACTGTAACTAAATTTTAATATTTCCATAAAAGCAGTAAAATAAAACGCGCACCTTTTTTCATGTTAATTATTTCTTCATATTTTTAATTGAACTTTATTAACCTTTAGAAAACGGGAATGAACATAATATTATTATTAAAATTGGAGTATTTATTATTATAATTTAAAAATATAATTATGGAGCTACGGCCAAATTGGTCATGGCCACAAGACTTCAATTTTTTCTTATAAGATACAAGTTTCAAATTAACTATTCTTAGAGCACTTCAAAAATTTTTGCAATGAAATAATTGAATTTTTGACTCTTCACTGAATATCAAATACCAAAATAACTTCTGGAATAATCTAATTTTTGGGTTATATAATTCAATTAGCATTTATTCATGGGATAGGTGGATATTTACTTTCTTTGGGATTGGATCTGTGATCTGTAAATTATTCACTTTCATAGTCGATCACATATACAGTATGTAATGTTTGTAATACATATATATATATAAATCTATTAATCAATGAATAAATAATATAATGTATATTCATTTGTTTTTTTATAGGCACGCAATTGATGGTAATATAGCAAATCAGTACGATTGTGCAATTTAGTAAGTTATATATACATATAGAAAATCACTCGGTACGATTATCAATCATGTATCAATTAACTAAAGTATAGGCAATCCCCAATCCTTGACTTCCATGATCCTAAACTTTATTATAAAATAATATAATTATTCCAATCGTACTTATATATTTTTATATCTTTTATATACTTTAACGTACTGTATATATTACTTGATTATTTTATTTATTATTTATTTTTTTTTTTGCATTTTTATTTATTTATTACATACTCTAATCTTCTTGGAGTGTGTTCTGTAATTTTGGGTTCATTGAATATTACTTAGTGTGGATTTTATTTTTTTAAATAAATTATTACACTGATCATGATTAAATTGATAATATAGTATATCTCGAATCATTGTTATTGCGTCGCTATATTTTAAGAATGACAACATGATATCCTAAGTAAATGAAAGAATAAAATGCCTTGATTTCTATTTTAAAATCATAAAAATCGATTTATAAATTTTACTAATGTTTTATTATTTATCAGTTCGCTTATTGTTTATTAATATTACGTTTACGTTCAAATTTATATTTGTTCTTTTATTCATTTCTTTCAAAAATTTACATTCTTGCTTTAATCATCGAGTGCAAGGTGAAAGATACACCAAGTATATCATAATATTGAATATATAAAAAGAAATTGAAAGCCAAAAGGTCATCATAACGATAATTATCACTGGAGGTCTTTTTAAAATATCCTCGATATTATTATGGTTGTTTTTATTTTTTCTCTCCATTTCTCACTTAAAATTTTATCATTATCTATTTCAAAATTTTTTTTTTTACATATATATACTAACAAAAATACTTATTATCTATCCCACTATAGTCATTACCACCATTATTCCTAGCATCAAGATAGAGTGTCGTCCGTCCTAAAGAGGCTTCAAATGAACGCTACAAGATCAAAATTGAGGTAAATAACAATGTTGTTTATTATTTATAATTAACATCCCGAAGTAACTTTATAAAATATATGAATATATAGATAAATAAAGGATTGGCTATAATTATATAACAAATGATTAAGGATCCAGTTTTCCACTGTCCGGATTCTTTCCTGGAAAAATTATATTAATATATAAGATTCTCTAAAAGAAAAGTGAGAAACAATGATTTAATAATTATATTTCAATTAGTTACTGAGATAAAGTAATCCTTTTTATATACATATCTACATATTAACATACTGTATCGACTCATATTTACATTCACGATATTTTATATTTCGTTTATTTCGTTTCAAAAATAATAATAATAATAATAATAATAAGGAGAACCTAGAGCATTGGTCAAATTGGTATTCCACCTATACTACTATTACCACAGAGAGAATAATACCCACATCCCACTGAAAACAATACGGGTGGAGTTACCGTGGATATGGATTTCTAAAAATGTTTTATCTTAATGAGTTCTTTTTAATGAAGATTTTTTTATGAGAATGAAGTTAAATTCATCATCAGTTACAATATAAATTAAATATAATAAATAATAAAACGTCATTTATTGAATCTAATTTTTTTTTTTTTACCATCGGGCTATAAGACATAAATGAAATAAAATACAATTATTGAATACCTATACTTATCATTTGCTAATTTACCCTTCGATGCCGGAGTAATTTATTTAATTCAATAATGTGCTAGGTGGTTGTAATGTTCATCTTTTTAAAGAAATCGAAGAAGGAAGAAATGAAAGAATAAAGAAATAAAAGAAATTGTAAAAACGGAAGATGAAAACCATACTATACTTATTTTAAATCAATTTTTTAGATAATAAATCAATTGCATGCACGAAATCACAATATGACATGAATTTTGTATTATTTAATAAATTTACAGTTATACATTTTCTTTTTGATTTATTATCATTAATACAAATCTATTCTTTTTTCTTAGAGCAAAATTACCACTTATCTCATTTAACTGTTATTACTACAATAGAATTCAAAATTTAAATTCAGAATAAAGATATAAATGGTAAAGTTTCGAAAATCGAACCTTCTCACTAATACTAAAATTTACTAAGCTATCATTTACTCATTTAAGTAAAGCGATTAATTAATTTTTTACTCACCCCACAGATATTTACTCTTTTTGATTTTCGTTGTTTTATTTATATTGTATCTATTTTTAACTGGAACCATACTTTGAAAAATTAAAGTCAAATATAACTTGCAGCGATGCTATGATAAATTAAGAAAATTAAGAAAATTATGTTACGACGTTAGAATTAAATGTAAATGATAAGTATGACGATCTCGTATGTATATATAAACTAGATGTTCTAAATTTAAATATAAGCTATTCTCTAAATATTTTTTTTTTAATTTGATTAAATGATCGACGTATTTGGATAAGATAATCTTTCTCCTGAATTTAATTCATTATTAACATAATTCATTTGGTCAGATTTAATTATGGTTTAAAAAAAAATTTCTCTATAAAAACCTCACTTTCATTCTTTTCTTCTGCTTCTTCACGAAAAAACAAAATCGTCTAAAAAAAAAATAATTAATTATTAAATTCAAGTTATTACTTTTTACAAAAAATGAAATCCGTAATTACTCTTTTCTTCACTTTACTCTTTCTCGCCATTACTACTACTACAATTTATGCTGACAATGCAACCCAATGTCAAAATTATAAAGATGCCTTAGCTTTACAACAATCATTTGATGCAATTAATCCTAATGCTCCATGTCCTGTAAATAATCAAGTTGCCTGTTTAGGTAGTCACGGTGGTGTAACTTTAAAATGTAGTGAAAATGTATGGAGTCAACAACCTTGTAATACTGGTTTAATTTGTTATGCTCTACCTTTGGAATTTAGTAGAGGAACTTCAATTGTTTGTGGTAAGTTTTTTTTTTTTTTTAAATATTTTAGTTTATCTTAAATTATTTTTAATTTGTGGACAATAAATTAATGATAAACCCATTTTTCATATTTTTCATTCTCTTTCTTCAAAATAAATAATAATAATGAATAAAAAAATAATAAATAATAAATAAATAATAATAATAGATACTGATGCTGATTACCAAACTCGCATGGCTCAAGCTGCTGCTAAATGTTAATAAATATATGCAATCTTAAAGACCAAACCATTCACTTAGAAACAAAAAATAATAATAAATAAATACGTGTAATTTTTTATACACATTTTTAAACATAATTGCAGTGATACATATTTTTCTATTACGAGTTTACACGATGTGAAATATGCACTAACTAAATACATAAATATTTTTACCGATGTGCCTTTTATATCATTTTCTGTATCAATTCTAGGATTGTCATTTTGTATAGAGATAAAAATATTTATAAAATAATAAATTGTCATTAAAAACAACTTGCAATTTTAAATGTAATTTGTGTTTCTTTTTTTCAAAAAAAAAAAAATAAATAATAAATTACTACCTTTCATATCATAAGTAAAAAAAATGGCATCCAATATATGCTCAGAATGTAATCAAAAATATAAATATGGATATTGGTGAAAACCATATAACTCGAAACATTTCCAAAATGATTTTAATAATTGGAAAAGTGAAATGACAAAATAGATAACTTCACTCACGATGCTCAACTAAACGCTAATAACCGTTGGGAAAGTAATAGAATGGATACCTTACGATAGATTTAAAGATGTTAAACAAATAGGTAGAGGTGGATTTGGAACAATACATTATGCTAGATGGATTGATGGATCAATTTTGAAATGGGATGTTGAAAATCAACAATGGAAAAGATATTGTAAAGTAGTAGAAGTGGCATTAAAAAAGTTTAATAATTTTGTGAATTTAAACGATGTCTTAAATGAGTTAATATTTTAATTAAATATTTAAATTTAATTTTCGAATTATTACGTAATTTTTTAACTATAAATTAAAAAATGTTTATATTATTATATGAAAATTCACTTAAAAACACGTAGAAGTAATGATTCAGTTTCAATTAAATTTTTTGGAAATACACAAGATCCACAAACACACAAATATATGATGGTTTTAGAATATGCAAAAGATGGAAATCTTCGAGAATATTTAAAAATTAATTTTAATAATATTAATTGGAACAAAAATTACAAAATCTATGGAATTTATCTTGTAGGTTGTACAAAATTCACAGATTAGGTATAGTTCACCAAGACTCCATCCTGGAAATATTTTATCTGAATTTAATGAAAGTAATATGGTGATTTCAGATTTTGGATTAAGTAACTAGTAGGGGAAAACCCAAAGAGTCCTGAAAAAAAGAATATATTTGGTGTATTACAATATATTGCTCCAGAGGTATTAAGTGGTTGTGAAGAATATACTAAAGCTGTTGATGTATATTCATTTGGAATTATGACTTATGAAATAGTTATGAGTTTTTCTCCATATCCTGATATAAAGATTTAGCTATGAAAATATTCAATGGATTATGATCAAAAATTCCTTTTCATACTCCAAATTAATTACAAGAATGATTATGAGATGTTGGGATGCTCAAATTACATATAGACCTGTTCTTGAAGAATTAAGTTATGAGTTGTATAAATACTATGATGATTATTTAAAATTCGAGAAAAATGAAAATTCAGAAATTGGAATTCAAATTAAAAAAGCTGAAAAAAGATAAAAAAAAAGCTCTTCCCATCAATCACTTGTACCAAAGATTTCCACAGTAGAAAAATACATTTTTTCACTGTAGTTACATATAAAACTTAATTATTTTTCTATCTTTTTACTCGTATGGATAAGAAAAAATATAAATACAATACCAGAAGTGTTTCTGGTCAACAGGATGATAACAACAACCAAGAAAATGAGAAAAATATGAATTTTATTTCTACAGCTAGCAACATACAAAAAGAAAATAATACAACTATGAATATAGAAGAAGAAATAAAAGTATCTTTGGTACCAGTGCACACAAGTAAAAAAAGAGCTGTTAGAGAGTCATTTGAAGAAGAAACAGAAATAAATATTAGTAAAGTTGTTAAATCAGAATTAAGTGTTTCATTTGTAACAGAATCAAAATACAAAGAAATTTCAGATGGTGAAGAGAATGATGACTTATATATTGAGAAAGAATTTGAAACAGTAAGAAGTAAAAAGAATAAAAATAAAAGAAGTAAAAAAGTATTTGTGGAGAAACCTAAAAATATCTTTCCTAAAATCTGGCATAAAGAAACTGGTATAAAACTTCTTAAAGTTTCTGTTGAAGTGAAAAAAATTAAGGGAAAATCACCTTTTGTGAAAATTCTCATGGTTAAAAATCTTCTTTTTCAAAATCAAATTGAAGTGATTTTTGGAAAAATTGAAACAACCAATAAAATTAAAAATATAATAATATATCTTTTGAATGAAGAAGTACAAAAGTTAAAAAAGTAAACCTAGGAGACACTGAAAATTATATTTATATACAAGATGTGGTAAACCAGTTACCTAATGAGTATAATAAATTATGCAAATGGAAAATTTGGGATATTCTTCTATATGTAAAGAGAAATGATTTAATGTTATATCTTAATTATTTTGAAAAAGTGAAACAATTATATTTAACAATAAAATTATGTGACAATTAAGTCATGTGAAATTTGAAAATGTGAAAGTCGCAGAAAAATTATTAATAGAATGGTCAATTTGAATCAGAATAGATTGTTTAAGAATTACATCAGGTGATACTAGTTATGAAGAATTAAATAATAGAGATAAATGAGCAACAAAGTTAACCCAGTTATCTAGAGGAATGACAGAATTGGATATCAAACAAATTGTTAAAGATATCAAAGGTCATACAATTTATATTCCAAGAACTAGAGAAGGATATAAAAAGAAAAATTATGTGATTATATCATTTGATTTAGAAGAAGAAATATAGAAACACCAGCACAGCACAATGAAATTAACAGAGAGAATTACAATTAGGATGGTCTTTATGATAACACCTCTTTGTTTCATTTGTAATTCAGATCTACATAAAGCAAAAGAATGTAATGTAAATAAATATCATAAACAGTTAATTTTTAATAAGAAAGAAAAAATCAAACAATTTGATAATTTGTATAAAAAATATAAACTAAATTATTATTCCAATTTAATAAAAACTACTTCAAACCAAAATATTATGCAGATATAGTTAGGAAGAAAGCTAATAATGTTGAAAAAAGATATTAATGAGAATAAAATTGAAGAACAACATGAAGAATTTGATGAATTTAATCAAAATATAATAGAAACAATAGAATTGTATACTGCACAAATTAAAGAGTTGCACAGAGGAATGGAAGAAGTAGCTAAAGTTCAGACAGATATAACAAAAAGACTTACTGCTATTGAAAATCGAGTGGAAACAATATAATTATGTTGTTCCTACTTAGTTTAGATTATTTCTACTTATCTTGTGACGTGCGAATTTCATTTGCTTCATCATTCGAGTGACGAGCATTTTGTGTTTGTCTCATCATTTTTGAGTAAATACAACTTAAATATAGTATATATTCATCTTGTGATATTATTATCATGAGTTTTCTCCATTCTAATAATTTTCTTAATATTTTATTTTATTTCTCATTTGTATTATTTTTATTAGTATAATTATTTAGTATATTTTAATTATTAGTCACAATTAGTATTTATTTATTTATTAGAGTAATACAAATTATGTAAATCAATAATATAGTTCTTAGTTACCAGTTACTGACCAATTTACTGATCAACACAAGTCAAAATCTGTATTTCAGACATATATTAGGGACCAATCGAGTAGTTATCAGGGTGGCCGATAGGTAACCAATAGGTAACCAATAAGTTTCTGATACAGTGATTCACAAAAGTACTGCAACAAAAAAAAATTATCTTTGTTATAGTATTTTTCATTAATCTTAATAAAAAAACTTGAAATTTTTTTTTATTTTTATATTTATTTTATTTAAAACTTAATAGTAATATAGTGATTATCGCAATTAATATCTTGTGTCACCTGATGTTAATCGATTTTTTTATTTTATTGTTACAATACTTTTGCAACTTTTTTAAAAAATTATTTATTTAATTTTTTAATAATAAAAATAATAATAAAATCCCACTTACCCTATAAAGAAAAAATCTTTCTCCAATTATAATTCAGGTGATTTTATAAAAAAAAATCACCTATTAAACAAATATCTGCTGAGAAATGAGCTAGGATAGCTGCGCTTTTCGAAGAAGGAAATACCATCTATTATATTACCCATATTAAAGGAGTTCATTACTCTTCTGTCTTTAGAATAAATAAATGATTAAATGAGACAGGTAGTAATGAAAATAGACCAAAATCTGGGTGCTCACGTATCATTACTGGTCGTTATGAATAAAAAGTGCTTTGACTTATAACATCTAATGAAGCATCTACAGTATACATGTTCCCAAAATTGATTTTGGATTTTTGAGATATTTCGACTTTTTGAGATTTATGCAAAATCTATTCTATATATGGAAGTAAAAAAAGTATCTAGTTATATGTATCTTTAATCAAAGAATAAATCTGGGTGGTCAAAAAATTTTGGGTTTTAAGTAAAATAATTTCGTTTTCTATGAAAAACTATTTCGACTTTTTTTTCCAAAATAATTTTGCGTGCAAGTATAATCCACAGCAATTCAAGTGAAAAAACAACTCGAAAGGGACGAAAATATAAAGGTAAGTGCCGAAACTATAAGGTGAACCCTTCGGAGAAACAGCTTAACAGTAAGAACCAAAGTAAAAAAGCTGTATTTCAAAAAGACATATCGAAATCGCCAATTTGCTTTCACGAAAAGGTATCGCCATTGGACGATTGAAGATTGGTCTAAGGTAATATGGTTAGACGAAAGTAAGTTCAATATTTTTAGTAGTGATGGGAAAGAATATTGTTGGAAAAAAGTAGGAGAACCTTTAAGAGACTCCCATATAAAGCCAACTGTGAAATTTGGAGAGGGAAATATTATGGTATGGGGATGTTTTACTACACTTGGTGTAGGAAACCTCTGTAAGATAGATGGGAAGATGAATAGTGACCTTTATAGAAGAATACTTACAGAAGATTTTTTAGGAACACTTACTTGATATA